GTACTGTTAATGATATTAATTTTTAATAAAATTTAAAAACCACGTAGTCAGTAGGCAAAACACGATAGCAAAATAACACGAAAACGTATATTGTACAAACAAAAACGTCTATTGGTATTATGTGTTTTTTGTATTCTGATTAACAATGTTATTAATTATTATTAATATTATAAAACCATAGATTATATTCTTAATATAAGTTATATAGGTAATTCGAAATAGCGCTAAATTAATTGGAATATTCGAAATTATTTATAATTAAGTGCAGGCTACTGGCAGCAACATTAGCGTATTCACGGGGGATGATTTTTGTGATAGATCCTGCTCTCTCCATACATTTTTTTTTATACATATATTATTAAATTAATTATAATAATTATAATGGATATCTATTGGTTTATTAATTAATAATCTTGAAACATCAAAAAACAAAAATAAATATAAATCTATGGTTTTATACTTTTATAACTAATAATGATCATCGTGGTAAAATTATCATATTTTATTAGTTAAAATTTAGTGCTATCATTAATTACTGTTCACAACAAAAATGAGCTCTTCGAGATTGAAAAGAGCAAAAACTTTAATTAAATTCCGAAAAAAATCGGAGGAAGAACGAAAAAATATAAGAAATGTAGGTATTAGTTAAAGATATTACGGCCTTTCTTTCCTATGGACAACTTTTTTACCAACAATTTTACTCAACTTTTAATGATAGCAATGTTTCTAAGAGGAAATTTGACTGGGGAGTTACTTTAGGGAAGTCATTTTTCGATTTTCTCAAGAGTTTTCCCAGCAAATGTGAAAAACCAGAAAAAAACTGGAAAAACCGGGAAAAACATAGGAAAATCTGTACATTAAACAAATTTTATTAAAGAGAATATAAAATGTCTGTTTAATTATTTTACCATAATATGAAATATATATTATTGACAAAGCATCACTATGAACTGAACTCCGCTCAGAATTGTTTTTTCGTTAGCAATGGTTTAAACGTTGCTTACAGATATACCTACATTAAATTATTTATAATAGTGGCTGCACCTTTCTTCATTATCCTAGGACGTCTTTTTAAATTTAAATATATGGTACCTGCGTACAGATTCCCGGTATTTTTCCCGAACGTTAATTTTCCCAAATGGTGAACAATATTCAGACAAAAAGAAATTGGTAGCCGGTTAGATATTCAAAAGCACGTATAAGTAGGTATCACGTGACCTTCGATGACTTGGACTTCATAATCGGACTTGGCTTTATCGTCTTGTAAATAATAATAACTTGTGCATTTTAAATTAACTATTGAAACTTTATAATATGTATTCGGGAAATATTCAAAACGACATTCGGGTATGATTATTTATATGTTTTCTGAAAAAATAATTATTTATATAGTGTTGTATGTCGAAACAACAATCCTACATAAAATAAAAAGGGTTATTGAATATTTACGAAAGGCATATCATAAATTATTAAACATTTTGTAAAAATCCTCATTTAAAAATTGAAAAGAGTTCATTGTCTATTACTGTCTGCGGTTGTCGTATTGTTTAAAAAATATCTGTTTCTTGTTATGTATAGATAACTTGTAGTTTTAGTTATTATTTATTTTTTTTTTTCTTTATAATAATCTCTGTTGGCGTACCAAAACGTTTCATTGATATACACTTTACATTTATAAACTGTCAGCTGTCAACTGAATAATTATATACACAACCATAGCAGCAGATAATAATAATGATTATGAAAGTTCTATAATATTCAATAGAAAACTATATTGCAATTGAGTAGGTACGCTTCTATAATTCTATGAATATATCTCTACGTCGGTCGTCAAATAAATATCCAAAACCGAGAAACACGTCTAGTCACAGTAAACATGTTAGCCAGCTGTGTCGTAGTCCGTAGAGGGCACTAAGGGCACGCGCTCGCCCTCCGAAGATTGTTTTATTTGTTATTTTCGGTAATTTTTTTTTTTTTTTAAATAGTGGGTAATACACAAATTATTCCTGCCCCCCTCCCGATATTTTATCTGGCACAGTACTGCATGACGTGATTTTAATTTCCTTAGTACCTACTATGCTAAATTTTATGACTTGTACGCGCATATTTGATGTTATTTTTTAACGAACATTTTTGTTTACCATATTCTATCTGTGGCACTAAATAACCTTCCAGGAATTCGAAACATTCTGAGGAGGGGTTTATTCCACCTTATCCCTTTTAATATACATCTATGATAATACGTATGTAGTCGATCAAATTGGCATACGCTAAAATCCATGCTAAATGTGACAATATTAAAAAAAAATCATCGTCGGTATTCTGAATTTTAATGATCAAATCGTTAGTACATCAAAAACAATATAGGTATATATATATATAAATTAATTAATTTTGTCATATAAGTCACAGAGCGTCTCCGGCGGTCTGCGTATAGTGTGAACACATTTTTAATCCGTCTATAAGTTTTCTATAAGTTAAATGTATAAGTACATGTAATAATGATAGGTATTAAAACCATTAGGGTCGAATAATAAAAAAGGTTTTTTTTTCATTTTATAAATGTAATGTAAATAAATATATTATTTTAGATTTTGAGCGGAACAAAGAAGCTTATGGTTTTACAAAGATAATTATTTTTATTTTTTCTGTGGACAACTTTTTTATCAGAAATTTTGCTTCGATATACAACTCACAAAATAAGCATTTACAGTAAAAAATAAAACTGAAAAAATAATCGTAAAAATGGTACGTATTTAATTTTTTAGTAGTAGGTAGTCCATAGATTAATAATTATTAATTATTATATAATTTGAAACAAACTATGAAACGTATTGCGTAATGTTAATTACGCGCAATGACCAACCAGATAATATTATATTGTACGATATATATTCACGTGTACAAATTATCAATAATAAAAAGTTAGTTGTAATTGGAAAGATTAGATTAGCCTTACAGGTATAATATTTATTATTATTTTTACCGAAAGCAACGATAAATCATTGAAATCATTGTATACCAAATTCAGATACAAAACAAAGACCAAAGTAGATATAAGTACCTATTATATAATATTCACACTCTATAATCACTTAAGTTTGGTTTTATGTTGATTTTGTTAAAAAAAAACACCCATGAACGGCCGTTTTATTTTGGAGGGGAGGGTTAGCTGGTCCCCAGGGTTTTGTGGCTGACGCCTACCTCCGACCGTCCTCGTCTTAGCGCTGGGCGCTACTTGCGGGTGGACGTGGTGCTGAAGCGATGGTGGTGAACCACCACCGGTCCAGAGTCTTCGAAAGGAACACCAGCCCTGGGCCTTTTGGGCTCGTACCTTTCTCACAACTGGGATGGATTTCCGGTCACCGACTAGGTGTAGTGGTTTAGTGTTACTATCTCGACAACCACAACCACAACCACCACGTTTCAGCCGAGGTAGGCTCCTCAACCTTGAGGACTTAGGTTCGGAGCGGCTGGCTGGTCCGGCGTAAAGTGGAGGTCCCCCGCCCGTGGTACCGACATGGTTTTAAGTTGGGTAAACTCGAGACTTAAGCTTTCTCACTATTTTGGCTCCCCAGCCGGCTAGTGGTAGGCCCTAAGGAGGGGAGGGTCAGTAGGTGTGTTCAAAGTTAAGAATCGCATCTAACCGCAATAAAAACAAGGCACAACTCATATTGATATTTAACCCAACTTTTATTATTTTAATCCACATATTATAAAAAAACTTTGATTCCCGAGTTTGAGCCCATTTTGTCAAGAGCGAGCACTAAAAGTAAAGGGAAACAAATTATAATACGTTACGCCGAATTCGTGAAATCGACAATGTGAATGCTATAAAAACTACCGATTATGTGAAATCGGCAAAATAAAAAAATATATGTATATAACCTATAGGAAACAAAGTACAAACTAAAGAAAAAACTTTTTCAAATTTTATGCATAACATAATTTAAACTGAAAATTGTAAAAACATTAAATTAGAAGAATTTGTTTGTAAAAAAAAAAAAAAAAAATGAATGAATAATAATTTAAAAAGTTCAACAAAGTTTAAAATAGTATGTCCTTAATCCAGAATTGAGCAAACCCAGTAACCTTAGCAACCTGGAATCTTATATTTGTCTTTTGTAGACATGGTAAAATTTTCAAAACAATTGTGCTATTTATAGACATTTAAATTTTGCAAATTGTTTTTTAATTTTTATTCGGTAGGTACTTTGTGGGCAAAATTGTTAGACTGAACTGAGAAATCCATGACATTTTAACAGGAGGTTCATAATGTCGTACTTTGTGGTAAAAAAAAAAAATTGAGCTTTCATGTAGTATTTTTTTTTATACTAAATTGAATATTACATTTTGACGAAAATGTAATATTTACAACCTTTCAAAACATATACAACTGAACTTCGCTCCGAATCGTTTTTCTTTAGCAATAGTTTATCGTTACGTACGAATATAAATTAAATTTCCTTCTATATTCTACCTTCCCGACTTCTGACCGACAACAATGATCCATCGTGGGCGAAGTATATCCGTATGTATCTAGCTAATACTCGGTAGATTTTCGGTGAAATTGGATAATCGTGCTTTATTGTATTGAACTATTTAGGCTGCAAAGATCGTTTGCTGGAGACGCTGCGCAGGACAACAAATTAAATTTAGAAGAGAAAAAAAAACCATTTAATAAGAAAATAACAGAGAATATCCTTCGAATGTACAAGCTCCTATTATGGAATAGAATGTTTTCTCGAGTTAAATGAACACTATATATCTATACGCATATAATCTGCACGTGTGTGAAATGTCAATCGAATCGTACGTGCGCAGGTGGCGCGTGTACAGCGTATGCCGTATGTTCGTATACCTGCACATAGCTATAGGAAATACTATTTTTACAACCGACCGTCTGTCGGATTTGAAAGTCACCGTAAATGTAAAACCGCTGCAGTTGTTCAACGGCGAAGAGAAAATTATTGTGTTGTGAATCTGCCTCGGATATTATGGGTGTTTGTCAATTGCGCCGATTTTGGAACACTATTTATAATATAATATAATATACATCCAAAAAAGGTATACTAAAAAAGTAAAAGTATATCAATTGCGCCGGATCATTTTTACGGTAACTAAAATAATAATAATACGAATTTAATAAAAATTTATAAATTGGATCGTTGCTACTTGTATGTATAGGAATAACGTTGAATGTTTTTGAATGCCGTTGATATTTGCAACTTTTACTTTTCTAAAATATATATTGAAAATTAACACTATGAAAATAAGAAAAAGCTGTCCTAGGATAATAGAGATGGGTGCAGTCGCTGTTGTAGGTAATTTAATGTATACCTGTAAGCGATGATAAACCATTACTAACGAAAAAACGATTCTGAGCGGAGTTCAGTTTATAGTAATGCTTTTTCAATAATATATATATATATATGGAATATTATAGTAAAATAATTAAATAGGCATTAAATATTTTCTTCAATGATATTTATTTAATATTGTGCCGATTTTCCCGTTTTTCCTACGTTTTTCCCATGTCTTTTCTTGGGTTTTTACATTTAATGGAGAAAACTTTGGAGAAAATCGAAAAATGACCTCCCTAAAGTACCTTCCCTGTCAAATTTTTTTCAGAAAAAGTGTTATCATTGTAAATCGAAGCAAACTTGCTAAAAAGTTGTTCACAGGGAAAACAAGACCGAAATATTTTTAACCAATATCTACCTATACGTATTTTCCTACATTTTTCCGGTTATCCTCTGTTTTTTCCAGTTTTCCCAGTTGTTAATAAAAAATCCTGTGAAAATCAAAAATTACCTTCTTAAAGTACCTCCTCACATCGATTTCTTTTTAGAAAAGGTGCTACACTTAAAAATCGGAACAAAATTTCTGGTAGAAAAGTTGCGCATAGATTGTAGAAAGTCGCGCAACTCAGAATTTAAAAATGCATTGATACTATAGGTATAATAAAGATTTTTGTTAACGATTATTTACGTTTTTATTTTTTTTTCATACTTTTTATTTTTAATCTACATTTTATTTCTTGACGATTTTCATTCTCATCCATGAGTGAAGTTGAATCGTTTTCAAAACTTCACAAATAAAAATATTATTTGGATGGGGTGAATAAAAATAACTCCCAAATGTTGCAGAGAGAAAGGAATTTGTACTTTTTTCCTCTGATATATAACACGATACCCAAAGATACGGTGAAAAAGTTGCATGTCCATCAATATAATATGACATTGTATCAACGAGATAATAACAAAATTAACTAATTCGCATTTTTATATATTTAGAAATCTATAGGTAAATAACATACAATTAATATGAAACGCTTTCGAATTTCGATCGGCGCAGTTGATGTGTACATTATTATGGTTGTTGTACATCTATTTTTTATCCCATCATTTTACTTTTTTTTTACCTGCGATTTCCGTTGCAATTGATTTGTACATCTCCGATATTATTATTGGATATCAACTCAAACATAACGTCATATCCGATGTGGTACCCATAATAGGTATACATATATTACATTATATATGTGTAAGCATGTATAGTATTTATCGATAGAGAGAAAATTCGAAGCGGTCACAAGTTCAATTGACCGACACATATCGATCAGTTCGACAAACTGTGAAATATAACTTCCGCTCGTGTTCGTAACTATTATACACGTAATATATTATATATATTATATTTTTCGAGTGTACATCGCCGACATCGCCGTTGAACACAATATACGGCTCGTACCGCATTATAAATGTTTGAGGACATAGACCTCGAAATCGTTTATATTGGAGTAAGTATCTGTCGGCGCGGTGTGTGTTGTCAAAAATAATGTTACGGTAAAAAAAAAAAAAAAAAATGTTTATAAAATAATAATATTATTATAGTATAACGTTGAATTCATACAAGTGGCGCAACCAGTGTAGGGAATTTTTTTTTCACGAATTCTTCGTATTACGTATAGTTGCATAATTCGTATTGCACTATTACAGACGTTTCTTTGTAATTGTAAATACGTATTCGTCATGCACGTCACCTATTTAGTAATTTACTATCCCAAAAACCTGTCCAGAAAATTTTTTTTAAATTCATAATGCAACCCTCTCCCTATTTGTGCCACTGGGAACAATTAATAAGAATAACTGATTTCTATAATGATGTGATATAGTAAAAATATTTCTGTTTTTTTTTTTTTTTTTTTGGTTTAATGTAACTAATTTTAACTTGTAAGGCATAATATATTATACTTGTATATTCTTAATACATAAATTCCGAAAAATGAACCAAAATGTTGAAACTTTTTGATTTTTTTTTCTTTATAGGAAATTTTTTTCCTTTTTAATGCATTCTATGGTATTTTCAATAATTTATTTTTTTTCTTCTTAATTTACGCTTATAATACACAATATAAATTAAATATACCTAAAGCAAATACAAAACTATTATTTTTAAAATATTTAATAAAAGTCACGCACCCAGAACTCTTAAGTCTTGAACAACTTGCATGTCATTATCGACAAAATACTTAATAAGTGCATGCAATCGATGATATACAAATGGTCCCTACGTGCTTTTTTTTTTTTTTATCAAAAACATATCGTACCTATTTACAATTTAATTTTAAAGAAAAAAATAAATCTTATTTGCAATGAACATAGATACAGCAAAACAGTATTCCGAGTTCAATTTCGAAAGAGAAAGGTTATTTTAATACAGAAAAGGAAGCAGTGGTTAGTTATACTGTTGGGTATACTCTCTCTTTATTAGTTATTCAACGCATCATTATACGATTCTGAGTAATGCGCTCGAAATTATATCTAAAGTGACATATTTTATATTTTAATTGTTTGCAAAAAATAAACAAGCTTTTTTTTAAATTTATCAATTATCAATTAAATTATATGAACGAATAATACGAGCGGAGTCATAGGTGTTGTAGAATATTATGTCACATTATATTTTTATCAAAAATCTTAGTTAATCTTATCTGATTTTAGATTTCAAGCTTAGCAAGGAAGTTATTGGTTTTACTGAGATGTTTATTTTTTTTTCTTCTTTCTTCTAGTCTGTGGACACGTTTTTTCCTAATAAACTTAATCCGATTTTTACGTGTAGTAACTTTTATGAAAGTTCAAGGTGTCTAGGTGGTACTTTAAAGAGATCATTTTTTTGATTTTTGACGCCATTTTTTAAATAAATCACTTAAGTGGGAAAAACGTAGGGAAACGTACAATTTGACGATTTCATTATTTTATAAAAACGTGGACGACGATTTCTACCAGAAAAAAATTATTTAATCGAAAAACCACAAACCCTTTTTTTTGCCTTTTTGATTTACATTTTTACGGTATAATAGCTAAAACTTTTGAGCCACTTTTGAGTTTTTAAGGAATTTTAATTTTTGAGAGTTTTTTGTTGTAATTCGGTTATAAATACACGTAAAGACTTGAAACATGGTAATAATATTTATATTGGACTTACCTAGACATAGTAAAATTTCCAAAGTCATCGGACTTTTTTTTTTTTTAATGAGCGTTTTGAAATAAAATTTAAACGAAAATCGCGAAAAAGATTACGGTACTTCAAATTATGTACTACCGAACTGCGCTCGGAATCGTTTTTCGTCAAGCAATGGTTTATTGTTGCTTACAGATATATATGAAATAACCTTATGTATCCTACCTTCTCAACTTCTCACCTACAACGGTGGCCGCTCCCATCCCCAATATCTGCTCTTTTTTTTTTATTCTGATGGAAGATATAATTCTACCTAACTAGTTTGTTATTGTACGTTACATGTTAAATTTATTTGTTATATTTTTGCGATTGACGACGGTTAGGTATAGTAGTACCTACTAGGACATAAGTATACCGACTAGGAAATAACCAATAAGATAACTTTGATGAAATAGATTATGCTTTTTTTGTTTTTAAAAGTTATGCATTTTTAACCATCCAACCTAAGCTCAGACTTAAAAACATATCTGGTTATGGGCTTCTTGCACTCAGAACACTCCCATGATTTCGTAATCTCTAAAAGATTTTCATGAACAAATTTGAATACCTACAATAAGGTTTTAATCTTTGAAACACAATGTAGTGACATCTGCATATTATATGTTATTTATTTGTATGCAAATAAGAACAAAAATACGCCATTTGCAGTTTTACGTTCACGAATAAATCATGAATATTGCATACCTACCTATAGTCTATAATGACACCAGCGAGTATCCTAATTATCTATGTACTTATTACGTCTAATATTAATTTGAAATTGATTTTAACCCATAATTCGGATACAAAGAAATATTTTTTACGCCTGGGTTTCGATAATTTATCATTATATTTTGTCACCTAAAGTACAATATTACTTTAACGATTGTTTTTAGTGTGTTTTATAAACATTTGTTTTTTGTATTTTTCAATACGTGGTCTACGCCTGACATAGGTTATATAGATATAGGTATTTAAAAACATCCGTACCTAAACCTATAGTCGATGCCAGAATTCAAACGCTTTAACCCTGAACATTTATACAAAATAATATTATGCTTACACACAAATATTTGTTTCTATATTTTTTTTTATTTTTCTTATACTAAAAATCCGAAAAGTATTATCGACCATCTGACTTTGTGTGGTCTATTTTTGTAAGTCTACTGGTTGGGATTATTTGTATATAAAATATAAATAGGTAGTTTTAACAAGTAATTTCATGAGTTACTACACTCATGAAATTACTTCTTAACATTTTTAATTTTTTTAATTTTCTGACATTTGACATTTGACTCGGTGTCCATACAAAATAGCTGCTCATAGAGGTCATCACATTTGTCACTATCACATAATATTTTATATGTCTCCCTCTTCTTATAAAGAGTAGAACTAACATTTAAGTACCTATGTTACTCGTATGATTCTATATACATTATAATACATAATATATTACAAGTTGGTTAAAAATTTTTTTGATTTATGCATTACGTAATCCTATTAATTTATAGATTTTAAAACAATACATAAAATATTAACTATAATATTTAAATAAACAACCTTTATTTATTTTTTACAATCATTTCGTTCTCCTATAGTATGACAATAAGCAATTAATTAAATTGTATATTATACCTACGCTTGTATAGATCAATGTCTAAATGTCTAAAACTGTAAACATTTGAAACAAATAAACCACATCCAATGAGTAATATATAACAATAATAATAATATAATAATATAGTGTGTGACCGACCGCCGCAAAGGGGCAAGGTTACCAACCTTGTTTCGAGACTGCACTTTTTTGTTAGAACAACGAGAATTTTGGTCGGAAATATGCATTACTTATTGACGGAGATTGGAACGAAAAAAAAAAGAGAGAAGAAAACAAATAGGTAACTTAAAAATATTGTCAATAAGAGGTTTTTATCATGAAAATTTGTTCTCATAACACAAGAGCAAGTCTCATAGATATCAACATCAAAGAAGTTTCTGATAGCATTTTTAGATTCTGAGCAGCAAATCGAGGAATATGTTGGTTTTACAATGATGTTTATTATTTTTTTTATACCATGTACAAAAATTCTAACAAAAATCTTGTTCCAAATGTATCAAGTATAGCACCTTTCCTAAAAGGCAATTTTATCTAGTTCGTACTTTAGGGAGGTAATTTTTTTTTCTAAGCAGTTTTCATAATAATTGGAAAAATCCGGGAAAAAATGTAGGAAAATCGGTAAAATGTATTCGGGAAAACAATGCGATTATTATTTTCAACTTTGTTTTTTTTTTTTGGAATTCGTTCAAAATGTTCATAGATACTTGAAATTTTGAATGAAAACTTATATTTGCTTTTTCTAGACGTAATCAAATTTTCTAAACGTCTGAGCCATTTTCAAGCTATTTATAAACATTTTAATTTTGCGAGTGTTTACGTAATTTGTATTATTGTAATTATTTGGTAAGTACTTAATGGATACAGTTGTTAGGCTTAACAGAAATGGATGAAAATTTAACAGAAGTTTTATTATGTCATACTTTGTGGTCAAAAAAAAACTTGAGTTTAATGTAGTATTTTTATTTTATAAGAATTTTAATATTAAATTTTGATGAAAATCGTAAATATTACAGCGTATCAAAAAATTAACATAATATTATGGAGTTTTTAGCTATACTATCATACAACTTTTATATTAATACACATGCTTAATTGCTTAAATATTTTTAATAATTTCGTATTTTAGATTCTAAGTGGAGCAAAGAAGCTTATGGTTTAACAATGATGTATTATTTTTCTGTGGGTAACTTTTCTTCCAGCAATTTTGGTCCGATTTTCAATGATAACACTTTTTCTGAAAAGAAATCTGACAAAGAAGGTACTTTAGCGAAGTTAATTGATTATATTATAATATTAATAAATTATGATAATTTTTTAAGCATTATATAATCTGTAGTAATCGCGCACTTTACCACAAGAATATTGTAGGTAGGTATAATGTATACAATATACATATTACAATATTTTGTGTCGGATATTAACGCACGATTTTTTAATTATCTAATTATTGTCCTTGGGCTATTCGGTTTTCCTCGTGATATCCTGTACAACACAAGGAGCCTATACTGCAGTGCATATTGGTACAAATTATGTTCCTGTTATGTTTATAATACTTAATATAATAATAGTATATGGTATATTATGTGTAAAGCTATCTGTTTTTCGCGGGTTATTATCATCGCGTATTATATCGTATTTAATGCTCGCGGTTGAAGGAGGCTTATTAATTTGACGTTCAATAATATTATAATATTAAATATCGTATTTTATTCATTCGGCCGTGGTAGTAACTAGTAGGTGCATAGTATTTTTACTATCATAATCGCCAATAATTAATCAATTCATTATAGGCATTACGCGCGTTTACGTCATTACCCGAGTCGATAAACACACGTTCGTATTCACACACACACACACACGACTTCTTAGTTATCTATACAATTATTTAGCTATATAACGATATATTTTATTAACCGCGTGAAGAATATTTGAAAAAAAAAAATTTAAATTAAAAAAACATAAACAAAACAAACAAGAATATAAATTCTCGCGTGACCTAGAAAATAACGTCGCTATTATTTACACCTATATACTTGTGCGAAAAAATCCCTTTATCATAAACCAATCAACACAAACCAGTAAATAGTGGTGTTTATACTCTTTATTATTATAATATGAGTAGCCATACTGGGGGAAAAGGGACTTAATAACCTTCGATTGGCTGTAATAAAATTGTGATGTTACGGAGTTCGCGCACGAGTATAATAAATGAATCCAGTCGATTTGATCTAAACGGTGTATTACGTAGGTACACGAAGCAATCAAATCGATAAAAAAAAAAAAAAATAACACCAAAAAGTGATATTCTACCTGAATTTATACTTTTACAATATGTAGAAAGCGCAGGAAGTAATATTATTTAAGGATGTGTCGAACTACTATTCGAACTGTTCGAACACGAACTCGAATCTTATTAGAACTATTTTCGAACTCACGGACTTTAAAATAATAAAACAATTTGGAAACTTAACCTATATATACATATAGTACGTTGGTTCTTATTTGAGTAATGGTGGAATTTTTTGTTGACGCCCCCTAACTTAGTTCAAAAGTAAAAAAATATTGAGCCCTATTTGAGCTTCCTAGGATATTTTTTTTGTCCTCCTGTAACGAGGTTAAGTTTTCCATTTAGAATACATTGGGTTTTTCGTTTATTCTGAATTTTGTTTACATAAAGTGTAAAGAATTGACGTAAACATTTTTTCTTGCATGAAAGAAATCGCTTATCGAGGAGAGGATACTTTAAAGGCAATAATAATAATGAAAAAAAAGAATATCAAGAATTTTATGCCATTTTCTTTCTGTTCGTAATTCATTTTTTCTCAATTTCCTTAAATTTAGTCAAAATATCCGGAAAATTGATGATTTTTAGCGTGGTAAATGTTTAAAAATCGTTTGAACATCGAATATGGGTTATTCTGTATCAACTATTAATATAAACAATATTAATTATTATTTAACTAACAAAAATTAGATAATTAATAGTAATAAATTAATATTAACATTTTATATCAAAATTATTAAAGTTTACAAGAATTAAAGTTATTGTATGCTCTATTTACAATAACATATTTGCTACATCAATCGAAAACGGGTAACAACATGTGGTTATACTAATTTGATTTATCGATAGTAACAACTTTGGAATTGATTTTCTTTTTCAATAGTCGCGGAATGCACAATCTGGTTTCATTAGACCTGTGATATACTGAATACTGATATAGGTAAGTATAATATAGTTATACTAAGTAACAATTAGAGACTGGATTTCATTTATAATCTACGAAAGGGCGCTTAATAAATCAAAAAAACCCTTTAAAAAAAGTAAAAATGATAGAGGAGCTTAAAAGTTTCCCTCTGATGGCTCTCACGTATTAAATTAAATTTCTTAACACTAAAAAAATGATTTCTTTTAAATAAAAGTTGTTTTTTCTTTTGTGGATTTTAGAACATTATATAAATCCGGTCTCTGAATAAATATCTAGGTACGCACTGCATAAATAAATTGTACAATAATAAGGTGTACACGATAATTTCGAACGTCAAAATTAAAAGTTTTTATCCCGTGACTTTGCCAAAACAAATATATTATAATGTTTTAGAGCTGTTTGCCAGCTATGAAAATATACAACAACGCACATCATCGTCATCGTTGTCGTCGTCGTGTACGAGTCTATTATTATAATAACAATAATAATAATAATAATAATCATTATTACTATTATTATATTGTTTGTAGGTATTCCGACAAACAATAAAACCTTCAAAAATTCAATAACAAAATATCTCACAGCAATCTCAATAAGAAAAAAAAAAAAAAAAACATTGGGCAGGCAGGTTTATAATACAGTGTATTATTATATATAGGTAAGGCACATGCTATTATAATTATATTATATATTATACTCACCTAGGTGCTATACTTACTTTTAATAATCCGAAATAATTAAATCGGATATTATAATTTTATTATTGTTATTTTTGTTATTATTGCGGTGTCTCGACGTGTTTTTATTTTCTAATTACCAACCGGCTATATTATAATATTTAATCGGCAGTCTACGGCGACGGCGGTACCCACCTATATTACAATAATAATTACCATGTATAGATAGGCACCTAGACCTATTATACCTATACCGTGGTATACATAATATACAAAAATAATATTCATTTCTAATTTCTATCTTTTCAACAATTCACGCCTTTAGGAAAACCTAAACGAGTCTTAAATATTATATATTTTATTAGTAGCGATGGCGGATTGTGAATGGCTCATGGGGGATGACATGTAGATCATCGCCTCCAACCCGTTGAATTTTTTTTCTTTCAAAAAATTGTTACATGAATGATTACCGTGCATTGAGATGCCTGCCCGAGACCATACAAATGGGTGGGGTGGGAGTGTCCAGCGGTGGCTTTCGTTTGGACGTGAAAAATTTGAGTTTTGGACTTTTCCTTGAAATTTGTTTTTCAGTTACGGTGTCGTGACTCGTGAGTGGACCTTAAATTATTATGATATACCTGCAGTTACCTTGGATGAGCCACTGATTAGTTTAGTAAGTACTCATCGAATACTATTATCATTTTGATCGAGCAAAATTTTACTTACAACAACATTAATATATATAGTTGTAAATTATAATCGTATCCATAAGTAGGCGATTTATAATGTAAAATAACAAAACACGCATATTCAGTAACCAATAACTACTAAGTAATACTTATCCATAAATTTCATTACCTACTTATAACAGTTAGACCCCTATTATTGAAACATTTAATATTAAATAGATTAGATACTCTATATTATTCAGTGGTGCGAACAGGGCAGGGGGTTATATCCCAGTCCTCTCCTAATTTTTCTTTTACGAATTCTACGCAGGTACCTACCTACCTAATACCATTTATTATAATATACAGTACATACAATCAGTGGTAATACGTATAGTTGAATAATTTTTATCGCAATTACAGGCATTACATTTCCTTATAATTTTAATAAATACGTGCACGTCGTCTATTAAGTAATTATTTATTATCCAAAATACCTGTCCAGAAATTTGTTTGAGATTTATAATTCCCCGCTCAAAAATTAAAACTAGCTGGTTGCGCCATTGCCTTTATTATTCGCGATTAAAATTTTAAATCTTAATGGTACCTACCTAGGTAATTATATACTTAGGTAATATAGAAATAATTATTACATAGGTCATACCTAGGTACATAGCAATTTACATAGATTCAAACTTAATACATTTTTAGTGAATCTGTTATTAATGATAATACCTAGTTAATAAAAACAAAAACAAGAAAAAAAACACATTTAAATCATCATACCTGACGTTAATGATGAATTCAATTAGTTATATTTTTTATCGATATCGCATGACAATAATATTATTATACATATTTTAGATTTATGTAGACAAACATTACTCATCGCAGTGGCGTATTTACGAGGAAGATTAGAGAGATATTACTAGGCACATAGATTATTACCTATAAAATATTTAAAAATTCAATATCTCCCTCCTTTGCAAAATCTTAAGTACGCCACTGACTCATCGTTATGTGTTTTAGAAAATTACGTAATTTAATTGTTTGCTATTGTATTTATTGTGCGAACGAAAGTTTATAATAATTTTTTTTGAGTGTTGAAAATTGACTAAGAGAAAAGGTTTGGAACCCCTGCGCGTCCATCCGAGACAGCCGCAAGCCGGGGCCAGCGCCGTATATTGTGCGACAGGATTGATTCTAAGATTATTATTATTATGTCGCTAGGTTCAGACGAGTAGATTTCAATTAGTGCTCTTTTACAATAAATTCTATTAGCATCATTGAGTTAAACTTTTTTTTTTCCTTCAATTTCCACCCGTTGTAGTTAGTCATTTAAAGAAATTACATTTGATAAATAAATCTGTTAACAGTCCCCACGGCACGTACACACATTTCAATTCAGTAACCGTTCAGCTCTTGGCCCACTACGTTCGTGTTACTAGTACATTGCACTTCTACAAAGATCAGATTTTTTTTTAACTATACCCATCCTACTGATCTGGTCGTGCTTCCGAAATGGCCAACGGTCTAAAAAAACTCGACGAATACAATTTGACTGTACTCCGTGAACAACTATCGTTGCCTGCAAATAAATACTGCTTCGACTGTCACCAAAGAGGACCGACATATGTGAACGTTACCATAGGCTCCTTCGTATGCACATCATGTTCTGGATTATTGTAAGTACCTAACTACTTAATAATTAGAAAACCAATAATAGTTAATTATATGACATATAAATCAATATATGTCCTCGACAAGGCTCCCGTATACTTATACAAAAATTTGAACTTTTAAATGCTGCTTTACTACAATAACTGTAGGTTCCCAAATTATATAAGTATTTGCTTAATACCGACCTATACAATTTATTTATTTATTTTAATTTTAATCACTAAATAAATACAAACATTTTGTTTACAAAATAATTTTTTACCTATATGTCGGAGTACCTAATACCTAGGTATTCTTAGATTAATATACTTAGATACCTAGGTACCTAATTTATTTTATTTTTATTGAATGCAAGATGTCTTTTGGGTAATTATAGAAAGAGTGTTTAATATTTTCATTACTGATAAAATTCATTCACATAAGTTGGTCGGTACCGACATTTATGATAATTTCCATAAACAATAAACATATAGATACCTAGGTAGTTACTATAAATGAATTTGAATGGATTTTCATTAAATTAAGAATTTTTCCAAGATAATTTCACACATTGATTTGATAACATTTTAGCCCATAAATACCTATATGTCTTATTAAATTAAAGTTTATTTACAATATAATAATGACTAATTTTATTTTAAATTTTGTAAGTTTATTTACTAAAAACATATTTTTTTTTTAAATTATGTTTTTATTTACTTTAACCTAAGTAGTTGTTTTTGGTCTGTGCATTTTTCCCCTGACCCTTATACAAAATGTAAACTGTAGTTATATTTTAAATTATAACATTGCAAAAAAAATTTCACTGGTAATATTTATTTATTGATCTGTTGATCTGTTATCACTAGAAACTAATGTGAACATTTTTCTAATGTTATAAAATATTTTAAAAATATTTTTGGAAATATTAATATTTGAATGTCATTTATTGCTAAACCTACATTTAACCTATCTATTAAATTTACACTTTAACTTAAAAATAATATCATGACGGATATTTTAAGATAATATACTTAATTTTATAATATTTATAGCTAAATACACTCCAAGAAAATGTGAATCTAAAAACATGAGAATATACCATGGTGTTTGTTCTAAAATTCTACACGGTAACAACAAATAAATATTTAAATTATGATAACAACACAGGACATTAAAAAATTATGTCTTAATTGGAATCTAATTTTTTCATTATTTGCACCTACAAATATATAAAATAAAAAAAAAAAAATGTGTAGGCTAGGTTTTTACTAAGTATTATTGGAATCCCATCCAGAAGAATATTCGACATAATTCTACTTTAGGGCCCAGGCGATTTTTTGGAATTTTTTTTTCAAAATGTGTGTTTTTTCATGCTAAATTTAATGCTGCTTTATAAAAAAGTCTGTCAATCTTCTTTCGGAAGTTATTGTCAAAAAACTTCAAAATTTTCGGTTTTTCTAAAAATTGTGTTTTTATTAATATTTTTGAAAGATTTTTTTTTAATTCATAGTATTTTTATGCTAGCATTTTGGTGAAATTAGAATTTACCAATCATACTTATTTTTTCTGTTAATGTCAATAAACCATGTAAAATTTAACTGTAAAGTTATTTCAAACATTTGCATATTAAGATAACTCAAAATTGACTTTTTGGAATTTTTTTTCATTCGGTGGATACACTAAGAAGTTTTTGGTGAAATCAGAATATAGAATATGGAAATAATTTCGGAGTTATAGCAATTTAAAGTTGGTAAAAAATATGTATCGTTTTAAATAGTACATTATTGCATTATTAGTATTATATTGCTTTCATTAATTTGTAACTGGTACACTCTAAATACTTTTTCGGTTTTCCCTATTAACTACCCGACGTGGTTTTGAAAAAAATTTCGAAAGATATTAATTTTTGATAGTTTAAATATAAAAACACAATTTTTGGAAAAACCGAAAATTTTGAAGTTTTTTGACCATAATTTCCAAACAAAGTATGACCGACTTTTTTATAAAGCAGCATTAAATCAAGAAAGAAAAAACACACATTTTGAAAAAAAAATTCCAAAAAATCGCCTGGGCCCTAAGGTAGAATCGTTCAGAATATTTAAAAACCCTCACTATCTAAAACATATTGTTTACTTTTAACAAAAAACTCTGAAAATACTATTTTTGTTATCTTCTTATATTATAGTGTACTTACATATTATATTATATTATTATCTTATATCAATAAAAACTATTACCTAATTAGGTCTCCAAAAAAGTATCTCTGGAATTATTTATTCATTTATGGTATATACCTAGGTAATTATATTTTATTAATTTATCATAAATTACTTTATTACTACTTAGCATTTAGGTACATAATAATTGTATGATAAAATTTCAATGAATAGGTAGGGTATTACACATTTGGGTTACCTATCTACATGCAAGTATTTAAATTATACATCTATCTATTTTTTTAGTATTAGGTACAAATATATTTGGTATTTATATTGAGTAAAATTAATGTTTTATTTGAAGAATATATAATTAGGTACCTGCATTTTGGTATTTTAGTTTTCCATTATGTAAGAAATTATTGATTTTATTGTAAGTTTTCAAAACAATTGTTAAGATAAGTACCTTGGTAGGTATATCATATTTGTTTTAAAGCCTAAATATGTAGGAACACTTCATTATTATTTTATAGTTATAATAATAACAATATAATAATATTGTACAACATTAATGTTAATAAGTGTAATTTATAGTATCCCAATTAATTTGGTACCTAATTCATTATGGTTTAATGAACTTACAGTTTATACATACTTATATTATGTACTGATAGACAGTAGTATAAATGTTTAAATGTTAATAAAATCACTTTATAATGTAATTCTCTGTCTATTTTGTCACTCATTAATCTCCTTAATGCTATTATTTTAATTATGTGTGATTTATTATAGGTACTTAATATTAACCACTAAGTGTCTCCTATTATACTGTCATGTTTATTATGTTAATATTAATTAAATTAACATTAATTGATTTACAGTTTTAAAAATGTTAAATAATTATGTAGTTTAATGTAATATGTTTAGTCAGATGTTGCATATTATATATAAAGCGGCATTTCTGAATTGCACTTTTAGCCTGAGCCAGTCTTGTTATGGTTTAACTACAGTCCAGGTAGCCAAGATAATTGAATTGTGATTAATGACAAATTTTAGGTAGCCAAGATAACTGAAAAGTACCAAAATTTGATACTTATACTATAAATACCTAAAATTAAAATTTTTTTTTTTTAAATAGGTACTATGATAATAATAATAATAACAATTATTATTATAATTAATAATATAATATAAAATTGTGTTATTGTAAGGGTTATTGTAGTATTGTGCTATTTTAATTTTTCAATAAAAACTTATCATGTTCATAATTTATGTAATTTTGTCAAAAATTTAAAATTATTTTTGGGTTTAGAAAAAAATATTAAATAAAAAAATAAAAAAAAACATAAACAAAATACGTACCTAGAAATAATGGAATATTTTGTTCAAAAGTATTTAATATAGTATTTGAATACGTTACAACACTAAGAACCATTCTCACCAATTTTTAAAAAAAGACGTTTGTATGATTATTAAACTGAGTTTATGGCTGACAACTGATCACAATCAGTCGATTATATCTTACAAATTCCGTTTAAAAATTGTAATATTGTAACATATTATGTTTTAAAATTTTTATTTAGGTTTGACACTATTGTGCTAAGGTTCTAAGAAATTATTTCTTTATAAGATTCATTTTTAGATTTGTTGGGATGGGATCTATTGGTCAGATTTTACTATGTAAATTTAGTGTTTATTTATTCAAACATTTTTTTTTCTGTCAACGAAACAACTTTTCTACAAAAAATGTTGCTCTGATTTTCAAGTGTAGTACTCAACTCCTACAACAGTGCCTACCTATCGTGCAAAGTATGTTTTTGTGTTTTTTATTGTAATTCAGTAATTCTTATTCTCAATAATTGTAATTCTTAGAGATTTGAAAATTTGACGGAAAACTTATATTTGTCTTTTCTAGACATAGTACAATTTTGAAAACATTTTATCGACTTTTTTTAGTTAGTTATAGCTTTATATATTGGCATATATATTTATAAGATTTTTACATTGATTTTATTTGATAGGTACTTTGTGGATATAATTGTTTGACCAAACAAAAATGCTTGAAAAATTAAGATGAGATTTATTATAAGTTGTAGATAGTGGTAAAAAAAAAAAAAAATAGAGTGTAATGTAGTAATTTTTTTATAATAGTTTTAAGATCAAGTTTTGATGAAAATCGCAAATATCATGGCCTTTCAAATCAGGTATAACCAAACTTTATGTATCTTACTTTCCTAACTTCCATCTACAACAATGGTGTATACATTAGCAAAATCAGACATTTTTTTGTTTTTAATTATTCGTAGGTGATTAATTTTTCACCAAAGATAATTGTTTTTGGATAAATAAAATTGTGATAAATGCATTTCTTAAATATTACTTTGTCTATATTTTTTTCATCTTTATGGTTAAATCATTTCTAATTTTTATGTAGTTTTAGTTAAAATTTATTTTAGTGTGTTTATAACAAAGATCCAAATTAAAATTTTTACTCTTAAAATCATCTCATAAATAAAAATAGTTTATAATTTTTTTCCAGTTAAATTCAATTATTTTGTATGTAATTTATGTGTTTTAATAATGGTAATGACTAATATATTATTGAAAACCTTACTTTAGTTAAATATGAGTGATTAAGTAGGTAGGTACTATAAAATTTCAACCTAAGAATACTTACTTTTCACATGTAGAACTGGATGTTGTACATAGTAAAAGGATTGAAAAATATAATTACATATTAAAATTGACTAACTCTCATAGTTAACAGTGGGAGGATAGTGTTCTAAATTGTTGACGATTGTGATTATTTGTTAAATTTTTTTCCCAAATGGTTTATATAATGGCCTGTTATGTGTCAATAAAATGACAGATACACATATGGCGGATGTATGATAAACATAATTGCATAGTTATAAAACAGCAAGTTGTGTGGCATGTTTTTTTTAAAATTGCATATTTATTTCATAGACGAGGACTAACTCCACCGCATAGAGTTAAAAGTATTTCAATGGCTACATTTAACACCGAAGAAATCGACTTCATCAAATCAAGAGGAAACGAGGTAAATTAAAACAAAATTGTATTATGTATATTTTAGAAACTCTTAAATTTTTTTCTTATCATACTGGTTAGATATTGTGAATTTTACCAATGCACGCCTATATTATAAATAATAAATTTAATTGGTAACACATAATATATATTTATACATATTCCTTATTTAAGGGTTTGAAGTATAGATGTACATATTTTTTCTACAGAACCTAATGTAATTAGCTTAATTTTAATACAAAATATTATTATTTGCATTAAATTGAATTTTCCCAAAACTGATTCAGCCTAGTTTTTATTGATTTACTTTTTAGTTAGCAAAATAATAATAAATAGTGTACAATATTACATGTCTGAAATTAAAATACATTTATTTTACTTTCTCCATTACTTCACTATGGACAATGAATATTCCTATTATATATGGTGTCATAAATCTTGTTCCGCTGTTCAGGTTAAACCATAATAATGAGTTGTAGACCAAAATCATACTAAAATGAATTATTAAAGAAAATTGAATTATGAAAACTTAGGTAAATATTATTAAAATATTTAGAGCGTAAAAACAGTAATTTTACTCTTCAAGATTTAGAGAACGTAATAATAATTGTAATTTATATGTTTGTACATACTTGTACAATAAGTTATTATTATAATGATATGTTGTATTCATAATAGTTTTAATATATTTATAAAAATTGGATTATTATTTAACAGTACTTAATGCAAACCTAATGTTATTTTCAGATTGTAAGTAGGCACCCATTTTCGTTCCAAACTACCGATTTTAGGGTTTTCTGTTTGGCATTCTGCGAAACCTTGCTTTGCTTTCATCTCGGCTTCTTAATTTTCCAATCGATTTTGATAACAGTTTACAGGAAGGTGTGTTGTGTGGATTGACATATCAATTGTGTAGTTGACAAATTAATTTAAGGGTGGTTTTTTTTTTTTTTTTACATAAAACCCGGAGATAAACTATTTTATTTTTCATGCGTCCCATTTTTGGTTTTTGATTTTGTTCAAGAAAGTAGCACAAGGAAGTAAACACTTTCATTGAAAATTTGTCTAAACATAATGAAATTAGACATGTTAACTATATCAATATTAAATAAAATATTTAAAGAGGATGTAGAATATTTGTTATCTTTTATCTTTCCAACATATACTATTATGGAAAAATGTGTTTTCATACTTCTAATAATCTCAGACCTGATTGTATAAACTTAATTTTGGTTTCAAAATAAACATACGAAGTTTCATTAAATGTTAGTAAAAGATATTTATTTTTTTAACCAATTTAAATTTTCCCTTTATAAAAATATTTTGGAAAAAATTATTTAAAATCAGCAGATTAAGGTTTAAAAATAAAACTGTTCTGTAGACATTTAGTAAAACTTCTGTTTATTTTGTTACAATGTTTTGGCACACGAGTTTATGCAAACTGAACTACACTTGAGTACTATTGGAGGTACATTAACACATTTTTCTTATGTTACCTGTTAAATCTTTAAGGAAAATTCACGTTAGACAACCTGTGTAAAATATTTTATATTGTCGGCTACTTAGTAAAGCCTTGTAAATTGATTTCATAAAATTTTGCCAAACTGTTAAGAAAACCACAACAAATTAACTACCCTATGCACCAAATAGATCAAACTTTTTACAAGGTAATTCCTATAAAGTTTTTGATTGGAGCAAGATTTCTGTCAAAAAAGTTGTTTTCAGATACAAACAAAAACGACATATGAGGTTTAGCTGAGTAGCTGATGATATATAAGTACGTATATAGTATACACATCACACATTGCTAAATTGATAAGTGTATGACATGCACTCGGCCGGGATTTTTTAATATTTCATTGATATTGAATAAAAAATAGATTAGGATGCATGTCTATGCATCCTAATTGCATCCATAGAAAAAAAAAAAAATCAAAAATTAATAGATATTTAAAAGGGAACGCGTAAAAACCTGAAGTGTAAAAACTTGGATGGTACAAATCTGGAATATAAAATTTTATGACTGAAAAATACTTGAACATTCAACATAAGATTCTTTATAAGTTTTACGTGCGCGAGTTGTTTTAAATATTAAATTCCAAATTTTTACTAATTTTAAAAGTTTATATTCCAGATTTTTTCGTGGACCCATTCGAAATTACCCTATTTTTACGATTTTCATTAGTTATAATTTTAAACGCTTGTAAAAAAATAATACTAATGACATTCAATTTAATTTGTTTAACATCAAGTTCAACTGATAACAAACCCTGTCTTAAATTTTTGAGCATTTTTGCAGGTTTAAACAAATTTTAACCATATAATAAAACCAAATAAAAGCTCAAAAATAGCTTGATAATTTCAAATTGTTACAAGCGGCTCAAAAATTGCCAGATTGTTTTGAAAATTATAGCATATTATCACGCTTATAAAGAGTGCTAATATAACATATTATAAAGCATATGCCATTATACTATTTATAAATAGTATAATGTGTTAATCGATGAACATTTCAGGCCCCTACCATTATTTTTAACCAAAGTACAAAAAAAATTAAACGAAAATAATAGACAGTCGTTATACCTAAATTAATTTTTCTGTTTATCCTACGTTTTTTCCCTATTATTTTTTAAAATTGTTATAATAATTTAAGAAAATTTCAGAGTTCTGATAGAAAAGTTTTTACAAATGAAAAACAAAAAAAACAACAGTAAAACAAAACTTCACTTCGTTCAGAGTTTAAACATTTCTTATTGAAAACTATACAATATAATATATTTTTAACCATACCATTTATATAAATGTATACATATTATTGGGGACGAAATTTCGGATACCTCGCGAATTATTACGAATTTCTCGTCATACTAGATTATTGACAATATTTTTTCAATCTTGATTATAATAGGCGGAACTACGGAGTAGACAGCATGCAGCTGCTTCTCCTGCGGATACTTCCTCCAACTATGAATGTATACGTTTTATAGATACCTTATATTATATATTAGGTTTTATAATTTAATCATAGGCCATACGTGTATGGCTAAAAAATATTGAAAAGTCGTAGTCTCATATTTTTACAATTTTTAACTAAAAACCATGAAATTTACCACCACCTTTTTTAGAAATGACATAATTAGGCCAATGAAAGGTAATTCGGAGAAAACAATAAAAAATTACATTAAAAAAACAAATTTTAAAATACTTCCAGAATTCTTTTCGTACATTTTCCCGTAATTTCTACGTATTTGTCGGTTTCGCTCAATTATTAATAAAACTACAAGGAAAATCAAAAAACGACGTTCTTGGTAACCATCTAGATTAAAAATTCAACTATAAATATCTCTTGATGTTTCTATATTGGAGAAATATTTATGGTAGAAAACATAAGCAGTATCAATTTAAAATAATGAAATCGTGCCGTAATTTGAAAAAAAAAAATCGTATATTTCGTCTTTTTTTTGTTTTCCCAATTATTATGAAACATATTTTATGTATCAAGAAACAACTTTCTTTGTCAGTAGCAAAGTGTTATAAGGAACATAATCGATTTCTTATCATTTTTAGATTGGAGTAATATTTATGGTAGAAAAAATAAGTTGAATATATTAAAATATTATACAAAGACGCTACATTGCTGTAAATATTAATCAATTTTAAATTTTCGGTTTTTCCTAATTATTAGGAAAAATACTTCTGATATTCAAAATCTACTTACGATGTCAGTAGCGAAATATTGTAAGAAATAAAATCAATCTCTTGTTATTTTTAGTTTGGAGCAACATTTCGAGTAGAAAACTTAAGTATAACACAATTAATACCATAAAAAGGGTAACGCCATATCGTGTCGTTACCGTGTTTTACCTAGAATTGTCTTTCGGTTTTTTCCAATTATTTTTAAAACCCCTTGAAAAATCAAAAACTTACCTCAATGCACCAACTAAAGAAAAAATAACTTTCTCACAGGACGATTCTCTATTTCGTAAATAAATGTTAAAAATATTTAGTCAAGGAATATTAAGTCACTTAGAATTTGACGTCTTTTTATTTTAGCGATTCTATACATTGATAATTTACCCGAATTTTAAACGAATAAAAGTATAAAAGCCAATAAAATATTGAATGACTTAATCTAAACACAATAATATTGTCAACAATGAATAATAAATTCATACTTGATAACACTTAAAAAAAATTAAAGTTCAATAATTGGTTAAAGTTTAAACTTTCAAAGTTTTTATGCGTTATCTAGTCTAACGAATCGTTTATATATTTATTAAGTGTTGTGTGTTTTAAATAACTAACAAAATCGAATTATTTCAGGAGTTCTTTGGTAATGCACCTATTAACACTTGACTGACTAACCTGGTACAAAGAATCATTACCTATTCTTCTTTGGTAGCCAAAAATTGGATCATAAAAAATACCTAAATTCCATAATGTATTTACTATTTAAACTATAATATTTAGGTAGGTACTTGATTATACATATTATTTTTTCCTTCTAAATATCATGATACAATTCAAATTTTTAGTAATTAATGAAGTATAATTAACTATCATTAGTTAGTTCAGTTAAAAAAAATTTTAATTTTATACATTATTAAAAAAAATTGATACATCTGAATTTGATATTCAAAATAGGGATTGCCTTTTTAAAAAAAAAAAAAAATTTTATTGCGCATGCTCAAAATATAAGAGTTAAAAAAATTGTAAGTTGCAGGAATTTAAGATTTAAGAAGGCTGTTACATTATATATTAGGCTGTTTTGAATTTTAATTTTTTTTTTTTCGAATTAAGACTGGAAATTGCTTCCTTGTGGTCTCAAACCTAATCGAAAAAAAATGTTTATTACTTGCTTATTGTATTTTTAGTTTTTCTAGTTAAATAACATAGGGAACTAACAATACTTTAATTTACTCATTAGTTCGAAAGTTACCAGGTCGTTCATAGATTTTTTCTTGAAGATCAAAAAAATATATATAGAATTCGCTTGAATCAATCAAGTGAAATGTTACTGATATAAGAATAGCTCATTCATAGAAATCTATACTAATTGAATTTTATGTACATATAATGTAGTTTTACTTTTAGGTTTTTTCATTTTCTACAATTTTTTGAAGTTTTTGCATATGTGAATATTATTATGGTTTATAATCTATTATAATATTCAATCTGTAGTCAGAGCACATCAAATGACAAGCTTTTTTCTTTCCATAAGTTAATATCATATAAATACTACTACTTAGTTCCCCTTCATCAAAAAAAAATTATATTGAGAATATCAAAAAGAATAAAAGTTATTTCAAGTGTTAGATCATTGTGGTCCACCACCGTAGATGTAATCAAGTTCATAAAAAATGGTTTGAAAAATATTGTATTAAAGTATCAACTAAGCAATAATAAAATCCAGATTCAATATTTGATATTTATCAATAGACATTTTGAAAAATATATAAAAAAAAAAAATTAACACAGAAAATTATCTAGGTAAATAGTGTTTTTAATTATGAAATTCTTAGAATCTGAGTGGTTTTTACTTTATTTTATGTATCTATTTAAAATTAACTTATAATACACATAATTATATTTTCTATTTTAACGAGTTTAGATTTGGTTTGTTTTATATATATACACTAAATAACATGTTCTCAATTGTTTATTAAGTTAATTTTGGCAGCAATAATTTCATCATCCTCATGATTACATCATTTGTATTGGGCTTATTTATATTTTGTTGACACAGTTAGTAGTAGTAGTAGTAATAGTAATGTTGTATTGTGTAGTGTTTACAAATATTTATTTTATTTGAAGCAGCAGTGATTCGTCTTTTGTCTATTAAATACTACTGCCAGAAAACAATTTTTGGGTAAAAAATTATCCATTAATCATTTTTAATATTAACTCATTTTTTGAATGATTAAATAGATACATCCAAATAAGTAAAAAAAATCTGTTGAATGGGGTGGATTCATACAGATTCTGAAAAAATTTCATTTTTCATGAAATATATTTGGTGTTAAATTGCCCTCTTTTCTAATGTATCTGCATAAAGTTTTCCTAGTTAATTTGTTTAACCTAAATAATATTATAGTATTTGATAAATAAATAACAGTTTTATCAATTTTAAACTCATTCAAATTTATTATAATTTAAACAAATAATCAACATTTAAAATTTATTTAAAGGCACTTTTTTTGAGTTTTTCTAATAATTATTAATTTATTAAGATTTGTTGATTCAAAGATTATGTTTATTATACTAAATAATATACATATGCAATATTATATAAATATTCAAATTCATTCCAAATTAAATTGACTGTATGTACCTATGTTTAATGTAATAAGTAAACAATTGTAAAAACTTAATATGATTTGGTTAATAATGTATGTAATATTTATAATAAACCTTTTCAATTTTTAATTTTTTTTCTACATATTTTAGAACTGTCAAAGAGTTTGGTTAGGAATGTATGACTCAAAACAACCTACCAATGATGAAAAACAAATTAAAGATTTCATGGTATCCAAATATGAAAAAAAAATGTATTACTCTGATCCAGTTTCCCTAAAATTAACAAATGGTGTTCAGTCAAAATCCACTATTACTACTGTTACTTCAAGTTATCAAGTAATTATAAAATATTTGTGTAGAGTTAAGTACTTAATGTTGTAGTATGTTATTATTTCCTTATTCCAGTGGTTTTTAGCCTGGTTCCCAGGGGTTTCGTGGTTTAATATCAAGGGAGCCATGTCTAATAATAAATATAGTAGAATAATATAGTAAATGTATTTATATATATTTTTATATTATTATCATTATTTGTAAGGGAGCAGCTAATTTAAATTTAAAAATCAGAAGAGCAGTGAACCTAAAAGGGTTGAAAACCACTACCCTATTCAATTTAAAAGTTTTAAATCAAATTAAAATGATCCAATATGCAAGGAAATTAAACATATTAATGTTTTCTTATAATTGATAAAATTTCTTACTTAATTAGTTTATTATTACTTTGTTAGTAAATATAGCAAATTTTTATAAAACAATTTTTTTTCATATAGATTTATTATTATTATTTTAATTTATCATTTATTAATTATGACTATGCTCAAAATGTATTGTTAATTAATTAAATGATTCAATTATTAGTAGGTATACATAATATATTTTTTTTACAGTTATAAAAATAATTGACTAGTCTGCTTACTACCTATTGTATCTAATTTAATTAATTAATACAATTCTATTTAAAGGTAGTTTTGAATATGTAAAAATATTTAAATTGTTAAATCTAATACATTGATATAAACTAACGCATTTAATACAAATTTTGCAGTATATGTCAAATTTAATTGATACTGACATTTAATATTATATAATTTCTCTGCAATATTAGAAATATTTATTTATGTGTTAAAATTTATTTACAGAATCTTAGTAATAATATTACTACACCAGTCATAAATATATCAACACCAAATAAATTTGAATTTTTAAAAGAAGAACCTCCTAACCAAAATCAATCTCCTATTCATCAAACATCTCAATCTTTTGCAAATTTTGATAATAATCCAGCCTTTTCCACATCTTTTGATAATTCAAACAACATTGGTATGTATTACACTAATATAACTTTACATTTAAATTATTAAAAATGTATGTAGGTTTTTATTCTATACCATGAATTTTCACTAGTGAAACTTAACCAAGAGTTTTTGAGTTTAAATATTGGATCAATAATTGTTTGACTTCAAATTATGATATGAATGTTAAAACTTGGTTAAAATTTATATTATTTTATTTTAATCTTATGTTCAATTTTTTTTTAATACTTTACATGCCTTAAAATTTTTAATGTACTTGATATTTATATAATGATGTTATAATTTTGTTGTATATATTATATTTAAATGTTTCATATTTAATAAGTTAAATTAAAAGCAATTTATACCTGTAAATTTGCATAAATATTTGTCCATAATTTTGCGAAAACATCAGTTTCCTATTAATTTTTATTTTAGTTCAATAGCTGATGTTGAGAATGTCTAAGTACCTAGAATATTTTGCACAAAAAAAATGGTGGATTCAACAAGAATGTATAAAATAGTATTATGACTTGTGGTTGAATCATGTGGAGAGAAGCATTTTATGTGACAAAATAATTCCAATGAGATTTACATAAGTTCTATAATAGTGTGGTGAGACTTTGTTGTATGGTTTGTTCTGTAGACAGAAAAATAGAACCGAATGAGTGTAGCAGAGATGGGAATGCTTAGGTTAGAGGTTTCCAGCTTTTTTTGAAACAGGACACCCTAAAATAATTTCTAAAAATCTGGAGGTACCCTATGATGTTATATTGTGTATTTATACTTTTATTTTATACATTTGGTTTTCTTTAGCTAGGTATATAAGTAACCTAACATATTATGATAACAGATATTATATTTAATACAAATTTAAATATTTTTAACATAAATTATATAATTCTAAATAGGTAAACTATGAGACTAATACTAATTATTAATTTTTGAGATACTTGGGCTTGTTTTTTTTATACATATCCTTTATTCATGGTCTAATTGTTAAAAGACATTCTTTCATTTTTTATTCAATGAACTCGAGCTTCATCATTTTATTTGTCCACTTAAGATTTAGGAAAGTTGAGAGGAGATAGAATAAGGAATGAGTACACAATTAGAGGAAATAGATTGCTATGATTTGGCTTGTAATCAAAGAGCTAATAGTAGTAGAAGGAATGGTTATGAAAATATATTTATGTGAAAAGATAAAACTGAAAAAAATGTAGTTGGATGTGATTAAGAATGATATAAGAATGACCTGTGCATGAAAAGATTATGTGAGAGATTGGGTCAAGTGAACATTTTGGACAAGGACACCTGAGTTTAAATGGTTGAGATGTAAAAAAAAATTGTTGAATATATTAGCTAGAATAATTTAAAAAAAAAAATGTAAAATACACTTTTTAGTAAAAAAATAAATCTTAATTTTTATTGTAAATAATGTGATAAGCTTGATAATTTATTATATATATAGATATTCTATATTTTATTTAAACTTTATAAAGTTAGGATATTAAAAATCTGACTAATATTCTATTTATACTACATTAATGATTCAATTTAAAAATAAAATAATTAATTAAATACAAATTTTATTTTAAAATTTTTTATACCTTCATAAACTGCAATACAAATAAAAATGATTTCACTTTCTGACTTAAGCTTTGAAGGAATGGAAAGGTAAAAACGATAACCTAATATTTATTGGTTTCTGTTAAGACTTAAATTTAAAGTTTGTTCAACCGCTACAAACTGGATATGTTGATTATTTGACATCAAATTCAATACATTTTTCACCAGCAAGGCAACCAAACAACATAAATAATCGATGGAGTGAGTTTTAAATTGGTTTCATGTTATGATTCCAATTAGCCTTGATTATGTTTATAAAGCTTGAAGAATGTTTACATGATTGTTTGTAATGGCACAATTTTTTTTTAAATTTATTGGCTTGGTTATATTTTTGTTTTAAGTTTTATCTATTAAATCCTAATTTTGGGCACAACTATCTTAGTTTAAAAAAATATATTTTCTATACAATTTGTATGTTAGGTTATTATTTTTCAGTTTGAACTTAAAAATTACTAATTTGAAAAAAAAAACCAGACTTTTCATAAAATTCAATGCTTTAGATGAGAGGTAGATATATGTGATATTGGTTTGTTTAAATACTGAAAACAAACAATTAACCATTGCATTCAAAAAATAATTCTTAGTGGATTACATAACTTTGAAAAGTTTGCTAATATTATAATTGTTTTTTTTTTTTTTATTTCATAATTTGTATGTTATGAATAGTATATTTCCAAGATATAACCTTTAGAGTATTTTTTCGACTGACATTAGCTATCTAGAACATTCATAGATCTTAATAAAATTAAGTGTTTTGTGTAATGTATAAATTCATCAATGGTGTATCAAATATTACAATACCTTTTATTTTGTTTTAATAATATAAATGAAATGTTGTCAATACATATTGCTATATTTGATTATAGTTAATATAGATACAAATTTATATAAATAGAATATTAAGAAGAACCTATTTTTTTTTAATTTTTCACCTAAATAGTTTTAAAATTGATGATGAAAATAATTTAAAAATATATTAAATTTCAGTTATAAATTGGTTTTCAAATGTCTAATGTATTCTAATATTCCAAGTCTGACAATGTAGTTATTTAAAATGTTTGGAAAATATATTGCACAAGTATTTGCACAACAATTAATAATATTAATAATTATTATTTTTATACATTAAAAATTACCAACGCATGTTAGTATTTTGTGAGTGTATTTTTATTCCATAAAAAATTAATTAGTAATTTATAGAATTTTCCTATATTTTTTTTATTTGGTGATTTTTATCAATTAAATTATCTTTTATTTTAAAACTTATCTATAATCTATAAACATAAAAAATGAACCCCAATTAGTATAGGGCCTGAAATTAAATTTTTTTTTTTTAGTTTTTGAGGTAGCACTATTATATTATCCCTTCAGTTTTAAATGTAGTTCTTGTATTTTTTCCATGTAGTGTTAAACACTTTGCTGTAGCCAATTTGCTGATATTATGATGAGGCATAATTTTTGAGACACCAATTAGACAATCAATAAATAAATCATCACTATTTAAAAAAAAAAAAAAGAAAAAAAATTATTCCAATTTTCAATCATAATTATTTTTATATTTATAACATGTATATGTTTAATATAATATTTTTATTTAGCTTATTCAGTATTTTAGAATTGTGATTTTTGTTTTATAGTAATCATTAATAACATGTAATATTATATCTGCACTAAAATAAATTAAAACAACATGTTAATGCCTATTTGTTTATTATGCCAATTATTATACATTGTTGGACATATAATTGTAGGTGTTGCAGTAGAAAGTACAAGTCCTAGTACTAGTTGGACATCAAATGGTTCACAAGCACCATCTGAAGACCGTTATGCTGCTTTAAAAGATCTCGATTATTTGATGAAATCTCAAGTTCAACAAGACATTACTCCACAAATAGATAATAGTAACAATTCTGCATGGTGTAAGTAAAAATATTGTTTTATTTTCAAGAGAAAAATTAACTTCAAATAATCATTAAAGGTTCTGACGCACCTTTGAATGGTACATGGAGCAGTCAGGTTTCAGAAAATACAACCCAAAACCCTTTCAAAAGTAATAACATGTTAATATTTATTTTAAAAAAATCAATTATTTCTTACTACTAGTTTATTTATTTATTTTACCTAATTATAGCAGACTCTGTTCAGGACAGTTGGACAACATCAAACCATGTAGTTAATCCATTTGTGAATAACAAAACAGGTATTTATACTTTAGAGAACATTTGTTTAATTTATTTTTTATACTTTCAATATTTATAGTTATATTCATTATACATACAATATAAAATCTATTGTTTATTGATATATATGATGGTAAACTGATAATACAATAGATGAGCAAAGCTGAGTTAATGACTTTTTATGACTTTAAAGATTGTATAATATTCCTATATTCTAGTATTAGTTTTTTTTTTTAGATGATTGGCAGAATAATATTCAATGGCCTAATGGTTTAACTACTAGTCAATCAATGGGTTTTGAAGATGTAAAGCCATGGAGTGCAGACTTTTCCAACCCTTTTAAAGTATAATAAAATTATATTTATTACTTTGTACTTATTTAAAAGCTTGGCAGTTAATATTAAATTATTTTTATTTGTATAGGTTGGATCATCTTCTCCATTAAACAAACATTCAAGCAATCCATTTTTATAACACCTATTTGTGGTCTGGCTAAACTAAAAGGAAATACCATACTATCTGGTAAATTTAAAATAAAAACATTATGATCATGCATATTCAAAAAAATAATGGATTTATTTTATTGTATTTTAATTGAAATAAAATAAAAATAAAAAAAAAAACAATGAATAAAATATAATTTAATAGGAATATTAATTATTAGTAACATTGTTAAGATGCATTATATAATAACTTATAAGCATAATAAGCTATTAATATGGGCAACCTATTTAGAACTTTTCCTACTTTCAAATTCATACAAATATCTAGTCTTGCAAATATTTGTAGTTTGTTTCAAATTTTTACATATTTTTCCTGTTTGTTATTTTTTTAAAATGAAAATTAAATTTAAACTATTTGTATAAGTCTTGGACATAAAGATAAATCATTAGTTATGTTATTTCATATTTATGTTTGCAATATTTCAATGTTATCAGTATATCAAATAAATTGAGTAACCTTATAATTAGTCAATATTAAAAAAATAAAACATTTTCATTTTATAATAATTTATAGGTGTATTCACCAACAATTTTCTTTTCTATACAATAATAGAGTCTTAACAATATGTCACTGGTGGCCTGGGGTATAAACAGTTTACAGAATAAGTTAAAGAAGTATTAAATATTTTTCTATTATAATTGACACTTATTTCAGACTTCAAAACTAAATAAACTAAACAAATGTATTTTGTATACATCATTTATTATTGTTATTCATTATTTATTTCTTTTTTCTGTAATTTATGTCCATTTGTGTTTGAATTTGTATGAGCAAACTAATTTGTCAGTATCATCATTAATGTATGGGACCAAGTTATTGTATGTTTATCAGTTTGTGATATGACTAGATTATTAAGACTCAAAATTGTATGTAATTTATAGAGATCTATTTTAGTATATTCTTATTTTTTTTCCCACATATATCAAAGATTAATATAATCCTGTATTATTTTGTCAGTTTCAATATTTTTTTGACATTTTCATATACCATAAAGATAATATTTTACATTATTTTTAGTTCAAGTAAATGTTTAATTTTCCAGTTTTAAAATTTAAATTTATTAAAAATTATTTTATGACTACAAAATATATAGTTTTATATGTATCTACATGTTTGTTATACATTATATTAAATTCTATAAAATATTTATTTTATGTTAACATTTAAGAAGGCTTTGTTAGGTTAAAGCAATTAGTTATATTTATGTAGAAATAAGTGCAATTTTTAAATATTGGGACTATTGAAAAGTATACGGTTTATGCATTATAAGATACCTATCATTAAGTTTCCTTGTAAAAATCAATAATTTACTTTTATTGAATCTCTATATTTATATTAACATAATCATAATTTACTTATAATTATATCATTCATATCTCCTACATGTTAACTATTAGATTTTTAACAATATTTTTATTTAATTATTAATTTTATTAATTTGTTCATATTTTATTATAATATAAGTTCATTTTGCAAAAACTCATATTGTAAGATAGTGGCATAACCAGGGGGAAAGTCCCGTGTCTGGTTCTCCTTTTATCCTCGATATATATAAAAATCTATACATCAAAATAGTTTTTTAATCTGGAATTTTGAGGGGAAACAATTTAACAATTGTATAATAATATAAGGCTTTGGGCCCCTTAAAAACATTCTAATTGAATCACTGTTCCAAAATTTCTTATCTGTAGTGATTAACATTATTTAATTAATACTTTAATTTTGAACAAAATATGATTGACCTAATTAATTGACCATGTGTTTTTATAATTTAGAAATATTTTTAATTTTTATAATTATTATACAATTGAAAACAAGTGTTATCATCAAAGCTAAATATTATTTTATTTAATTTTTAAGTTATATATGTTTATGAAAGTTAACCTAATTATTTGTTGTTAATCATTTGAATTATTTATATTTAAAAAATTAATCAGAATTTGTTTGAAAGGAAAAAAAAATATTTAGTTATTTTAAAAAATTGTTTAAAAAACATTAATATCATCTAGCATCAAATAAATCATGATAAGCGGTAAGGAAAACTATAATGTACATCATAAATTAATAATTTGCTGTATTCTGACAGTAGTCATTAATTTATGTTTATATCTTTTAAAATAATTTTTATTTAGTAGCATATAAATTAATTATATTTATTATATATTTATCCAGCAGTTTTCATTTCTATACTAGAATTTATTTGATGCTAAATTTGTTTAAAATTATATATGTACACACCAAAGTATGTTAATTATGTTTAACAAAATATGTAACTGTGATAAATTTTTTTTATTATTTTTATTTTACCTACACTTTGTTTTATTTTGAATGTTAATTTCAGATTATTGTCAAGAATAAGTTAAGTTTTGTTTAAATAGTATTATTTTGAATGGATTTTATTTCACAAAATTGATTATTATTTTCTGGCTGACATAAACTATATTAGATAATTTTTGCAATGTATTTGTTACCACCAATGATATATATATATATATATATATATATATATTAATTTTAAAAACCTATAAATAAATACAATTTCAATTTCAATTTTATTAAAATACTAAAATGTCCAAAACACAATTCATAATTAATAACTCAGAGATGCAGTTTGTTATTGTATATCATAGGCAGGTATACTAATTTATTATATAGACAACTTAGATATTTAAACAGACAAATATTTTTTGAATTTTTTCTTTGTTCTTAGTTCATTGTGTTTTAACTAATTGTTAGTTTATCACATACATGTTTAAAAAAAAATTTTATTCACTATACAACATGAAATTTGTCTATGCTTTTTACCAGTAAAATATTTGTTTATAAACTGTGCAGGGTGATTCAGTGATTCAGATAGATTTATGATTTTTTTTTTTAAATATCATGTTAATACAAATATTGGGCAATGTTGTTTTATTATGTTTTTTTTGTACACGGATATTTATGTTGATTACATTATTTGAAACAGACAGGGTTATGAAAATTAATTTAATTAATAAAAAAAAAATGAGCACTGGATCATGCTTGACTATTTAACTATGTTTTAAATTTAAAATAACTTTAGTATTTTAGTGATAAGTATTTCACTATTCAATTTAATTATGTTTTACCAACTCAAAATTAGGAATATATCAATTCTAAAATATTAAAATAATTATAAATTTATTTTTAAATTAGGCTAATTTGATATTATACACTTAATAATGATGTAATTAATAATGATTTTTGTTTTTTAATATCGCTATTTACTTAGTGGCCAATATTACAATATTATTAATGAATAAAACTCATTATTTTTATATTGTATACTAATAAAATATATTTAAACACAAAGTTAATGTTAACTGTTACCTATTAGAAGCTTATTATGCATTCAGCTTTTAGTAAGTCAATATATTTTTTTAAATTTCACTCTTAAAATAAATAATATGAACAGACACTTTCTTTAGAATGTAAAGAACTTTTATACCTATTTATTATTAATATTCATAAATCTCCAGCTTAATACATAATTTAATATTTATACAGTGCTATTTTCGGTTCAACTATTTTGTGATTTAGCTTTATTATAATAATTTTTATTAAACTGTTGTAAATGATAAAATTATGTGTTATATTAACATAGACACAAATAAAGAGGGATTGGAGGGCTTAACTCCCCAAATATTGTCTTTATCAAATAAAAACTAAGTATACATAATCAATATAATAATATTTGAGTTATTTGCTCCTATACAGTAGTTTGTATATAATCTTGACATTTCAATTTTATATTCTGTAGTACTATAATATCTATTACTTTTTAAAGGAATAATATTACACAAATAATCTGTAACAAAGATATAATCATATTTTTATGACTAATGTGTTAATATTATTTGTATAACTTCATTCAAAGTATTTTTATAATACATATATATATATATATAATAAGTACTTTCAATCCATTATACAGTAAAAAAAATATTATGTACCTATACCGGTATAGAAATATTTTTTTTAAATTGAAATATTATGTAACATTGCTTCATTAAAATTATATTTAAGTAATGAAAACTATAATTAAACTACCATGAAACATATTATATCATATTTTGCAATAATTTATTTTATTTTTTTTTTACCATTAAATCTTGTATTATATAAAAAATATAAATATATAATACAATTAAAAACAATATTTATAAACTAATTGTAATAATTTATTTTATCAAAATATATTTATTTAATGTGCACACCCATTTCACATATATAATAATTGTGTTTAATTTTACTTTCCTCTTTTCTCTTATTTAATTTTTTTCCCATTTATCTTAAACCTAATCAAAATGTTATTATTAAAGCTATAAAAACATCTATTTAATGGCTATGAGCTTACTCCCTGGTCCGGAAAGGGTATTAACTTTTTGCAGATTCTCAGCCTTTTTTGGTTGTTTATAACTTTCACACTTTTTTCTTTAATTCTGAAAAATATAGGTTAATTATACACCTAGTATGGTGATTAAAATATGTTTATTTTGGGGAAGGTGTATATTAAAAATAAGACTTTCATACTTCACACATGGGTGCAGCTACTGTTGTAGGTGGAAAGTTGGGAAGATAGGATACAGAAGGGAATTTAATGTAGATCTGTAATGATAAACCATTGCTAATGAAAAACGATTCTGAGCCAAGATCAGTTAATAGTGATGCTTTGTCAACAATATATATGTTATATTGTAAAATAATTGAATAGACATTTTTATTAATATCGCTTATTTATATAAGCTGCCAAATGGCAGCTAAGTTTTTCCCATTTGTTGAGAAAAATCCTGGGAAAATCGAAAAATTACCACTTTAAAGTTCCTCTTCAGTCAGAATTCTGTTTATATAAATTGCTATCATTGTAAATCTCAGCAAAATTGCTAGTAGTAGAGTTGTCTACAGAAAATATAATCGTAATATTTTATTAATATATTTTGTACATTTCATTTTCACTTTTTTCCTGCAGTTTTTTTTTTTTGGTTTTTCACATGTGATGACAACTGCTGAGAAAATCGAAAAATGACCTTAAGTATCACCTTAAGAAAATTTCCTTTCAGAAAAGGGTTTACATAGTATAAATCAGAGTAAGCTGTGTGGTAAAAAAAAAAAAAAAACTAAAATTAATACATTCTTCCCTTCACTTAGAGAATCTAAAATTTGCTTCTCCCTATTTCTTAATAATATTATCATCTGTACATATGTGCCTGTGGTCTTTAGCTTTCATTATTGCCTAACCCAACCATTGCACTGTGGCAAGGATTGGGCTAGAATTTGGTAAACAGATAGCTATTATAACAGGCATTTGCTAAGAACAATTTGATATTTAAAAGAAATTAAAAAAAAATAATGTAAAAAGTATTTTTGAAATATTTTTATGTGATCAATATCAACTGTGCTAGGATTGTTCCTGGAACAATTTAGTATTTAAAAGAGATTGGAAAAAATATAATGTTTAAGATATTTTTGAAAAGGTTTGAAAGGATATAAAATATCAACTGTGCCAGGAATGATAATTATATACTACTGATGTACTTCTATAAGTTAGCAAATATCTTTGAATTAATGTAATTAATGAAACATCTTTATTTATTTTATCTTTCACTGCTTTTAAGATACCATTCTTTAAAGATTTTACAGCCTTTTTAGCTGATTCATTTGTCGCTGGACCATAAGGAGATGTTATAAATTTATTCATTGTTTTTACAAAATTGTATAAATTCCTCTGACCTAAACTAAGGTCCATTATCTAACATTATTTTGTTTGGTAATCCAAACCTGTCAAATATCTATCCTAATTTTTCAATAACAGGACAACTAGTTATTGTTTTCATTTTAATCCCCTCTGACTTTCGTAAAAAATATCTGTCATAATCAAATGATTTTTTCCTTGTAAATACAAAAAATCTATGTAAGTCCTATCCATTGGACCACTCGCTTCCTCTCACTTTTTTGGTTCAGCTAACATTGGTTCTGATCTACTTTACAAACAAGCATCACAACCTTTTTACCCACTTTTCAATATCACTATCTAATCCTAACCTATGATCTACATAATATTTTCATCTTGGACATCTCTTTGTGGGCTAAATGTACTTTCAATAAATCAACTCTTAGATTTTTAGGAATTAATAGTCTATAACCCCATATCAATATACCCTTTTCTATACAAATTTCTTTTCTAATTGCATATGGTTTAAGTTCATTCCTAATTATTTTAGGCCAACCATTTTTTATACATTGAAATACTAAACTAAATTCTGTGTTCTTTTTAGTTTTCACTAATTAATTCATAATCAACAGGCATCACATATTTCATAAAATCAACATAATCTATTTCATTTGTCTGAGATTGTACATTATCTTTATCGGGTAATTTCGAAAGTCTATCAACTACTTTATTATCTCTCCCTTTACTATGTACTACATGATAATCAAACTCTGATAAATATAATATCCATCTTTGGATTCTCCCAGAAGCCATTATTGGAATATACTTATTTTCACCAAACAAAGTCAGGAAAGGTTCATAATCTGTTTCCAAAAAAATCTTTCTGCTTAGAAGATTTCTTTACCTCCCAGAAAACTGCTAAAGCTTCCTTTTGAATCACTGGATATTTCCTCTTGGCTGGCCATTGTTAAGCTTCTTAAAGCATAAATAGCCATCGTTTTAACGATATAAGTTACTTATATCATGACGTTATAATATGTTGTATAATATTCCTTATTTGCTTGTAATGATTATACAAAAAATAAAATAAATAACGAATAGGTATTAGGATAATAAATTAAACATCATCATTGAAAACGTTTTTTTCATTCATTTTCGTATGAGATAGGCCGTTGGTGTGTGGTCAGAACCACACTTTCTGAAGACTCATGACTTTTAATACGCTTGCTAGTCATACGAAATTCAAGAATAGGAAATATCGGATTTCACTCAACAACGACCAATAGTATACAACTAAATGATAGCACCATTCAAGAATTGACCCTCTGGTTGTTTTTCTCTATTCTTGAAAATATGCATCAGCTATCAATACTGCTCCAATAATTAATTAACTATACATATGTCCCAGATCTTTGTAACCAGTGTAAAATGCATCAAAAAATCATAGGTTTAACACATATTATAATATGTATAAAATGTATAATATTATATTTAATTAGTTTTACAATAGTAAATAGTAGAGATGTTTCAGGTAGATTTTTTATTAACTAACCAGGTACTGAGTATTGTCCGAGTAATAAATAATAATGTTTGTTAAAAGTTAAAACCTAGTCAAAACTTCATGGAAATTATCTGTTTGTGTGTGTCTTTTGTACGATAATTTTTTTAGCATAATAATTAATTATTAATATAGCATAAATTAAAAATGTTCATAACTCACTAAAAAACTGAATTATTGTGAAAATTCACATACAAACAGATAATGTTTTAACCATCAAATTTTATAATAGTTCGATTTGCTCTAGATAATTGCTCAATAAAAAATAAACTGCAAGTCTGCAAACAATATTATCAACAATATCTCAGTTGAGCGGTGGCTGTCATAGCAGTAGCATGCGTATTAGCATCGTTCTGATACTACTGCGTTTCCAGCTGGCAATTGTTAACAGTTTTTAGTGACCTTTTTACCGAGAAGTGCTTAAAAAGTGCGCGCAGGGATCGGTGTCGATTTTGAGTCGGTCCTATAAAAACATTCCCCATAAGGGCAGTTTTAAGTTAGGATTGTATGTCTGTTGACTACGGATCAAGGTAGGAGCAACGTTATTATACTTAGTAGTTGTTACTGCTTATTGACTCGCGGTCGGCTAAAGGTTAGCCGGCGAGCGGTCGTCGTCGCCGCTATCGGCGAACTCGCTATCGCGAATTCCGGCGGCGCATAGGCCAGGTATTGGGCGTAATCAAATCTACTTAAGGATTTGCATTGAGCTCGCGTGGAAGAGAATTGTTGGTAATCATCATGTGAGTTAGATAACTTAAATATTGAATGTTGGAATTTTTTTAATTTGATTAGATTTATTAAGTCTTTAGAGAACCAACAGGGGAATTTAGATTTGCAGTATCTTTTTTTAGGAATAAAAGTGTCTATTGCATATAATAGGAGGGAATAAAATTCTTTGGTGATGGTTGTAATATCATTACTAATATTGAAAAATTCGTTCCAGTTTATTGAACCAAGGAAAGATAAAATATTAATATAATCTCCCTTATACCAGTCATAGGTTTCTTCAGAAAAAGATAGTGGAGAGGGAGTGTAGAACTGAGAGTAGCTAACATTAATAGGAAGGTGATAATTATCTACTGGAACTATAGAATCCTTATTTAAAGATATAGATTGAGAATTACAATTGGATAATATAAGATCCAGTATTGAACCATAACTATTGAAGATTGTATTTATTTGAAAAAGATTAAGAAATGATAGGTTTTCTAAAAAAATAGCTTCAGGAGAGGATAGATTTAAGTTAGCATTTAATGATGCTTTATTTAAATTTGGCAAATTAAAATCACCGAAAAGTAGAAGATCATTATTTGGGCGAGAAGAAATTAGGTTATCTAAAATAGAGAAATANTGGCGGAAAGTAGATACAACCCATGATTAAATTTTTAGTGTTACTAATTTTTACAGAGACAAAGCATAATTCTAGCGATTTTATATCAACATCAATTTGTGAGGAGATACATTTTTTATTCACTGCTATTAAGACACCTCCTCCTCTGGTCGACGAGCTAGATAATAAAGATCTATCATATCTATAAATTTCGTAGTTTACGAGACCTAGTTCGAGTGAGCTAACGTTATTATGTAACCAGGTTTCGGTAAAAGCTAAAATATTAAAATCTAAGAAATCTATATTGGTTTTTAATAGTTTTAATTTAGTATTAAGACCTCTTACATTTTGGTAATAGCAGTTGAATATATTGTGAATGGAAATTAGTTTTTTGAATTGATAATTTTTGGAGTGCCTTTGATGTGGTCCTGATGATGAGGTCCTGTTCTCCATTAGATTGACGATTTAGAAGTTCTTGGCGAAGGTGTGACATGTATTCTTGTTGCTGTTTGGTCCGGTCAGAAGAGAAGCGAAGGTCTTTCCAGGTAGAGTTTGATTTTAATTTATTTTGATATGAGAATAATTAAAAAATATCTTTTTGATCCGAAAAGCGTAATTTTACTGGTCGAGGTTTGGTAGTATTAGAAGAAGAAGGTTTGCCCAGACGAATGACAGAATTTGGTTTGGATTTTAAATTAAGAAAATGAAGTATATTTTGAATAGAAGTAGAATCCGAGCTTGCGTTGGTTGAGTCATCTGGTAAATTGAAGAGTAACACATTATTTCGTCGTGATTGTCTGTCGATCATCTCAGATATTAGATTGTCGTAAATTAAGATTGATGACTTTGTATTTGACGATGCGATATTAGCTTCAAGAGTTTCCACTTTAGTTGTTAAAGAGGCTAGTTCAGAAGATAAAGTGTTTAATTGTGCGGAATGACCATTGATTTTATTTGTTATAGATGCTACTTTATCAAATAGAGAATTGATTGAAGACACTAATTTATTATTTGAAGTTTTTAAATCATTTACAGCTTTAATTAGAGAATCAAGTTTATCTTCCATGTTTGTGAAATGAGTGAATACGGCGTAAGAAGTAGATAAATATTTAGCAAATGAATACTAAATATTAAGGGGCAGTGTATATGTAATAAAATTGACAATTTTACTGAGGTATTGATCTTATGGTATCATAGTATGGAGTTCTGCTTATAAGTATGCTCCAGAACCACTAAACGTACATAGAATAATAGTGTTCGCGCCGCAACCGATACGCGGTTAAACGCGAATAATATCGTATATATTGTTGTGTTCATTATACAAATGTATATTTATTATAATTATAATTTTTAATATTTGTATAATAGCTTTCGCTGTTGATACAATTTTGTTTATTGAACGTGATAATTGGAACGAGATAGAGACTAGAGCTAATTTAGCATTGGCATATGTGTACGATTGGTACAAAAAAATTAATCTATTACTATACAATCAAAAATCAGCTAAAACTACAAAATATGTATAATATATAATGTATACACTTATACATTATATATCGCATGAGCCCATGCTCCTTATCTTATCTTCAATCATAACGTCAATCATTTTTCCTACGGGTTTTTTTTTTTGATTTTTCGCATTTGATGAGAATCTCATACTTAAAAAAAAGTAAAAACCGATTAATTTTAACTAGCCGGTGCACTCTTTTGCACGTTTGGTTACTGCTGAATTGTCATCAGGGGCTCGTCCACTAGTATCGACTCCTTATAACTAAGCAACCGTATTTGCTCACTTCGCCTGTGTGTTTGATTGCCTATATATCCATGTACTGATGCAGGAGAAGACCCGTTTCGTACCTATCACCTTAACTAATAATTGAACTAAAAACTAACCTCGCCCTATCACTGGTAACGATGTTACCTTTAAGCTCAATCACACGTCCTGGCTGCCTCTAACAGGTTACTGATGTTGTATGGACTGGAAGAGCAGCAAGGACACGTTCAATGTTCCTGTCGGGTGGACAGTAGTAAAAATCAAACAACCTGACGGGTTCGGTGAAAAAGGAATTTTAATCGTTCAAATAATTCTACATCAACACAGACAACAGGACAACGGGAACTGTCTCGTTACACAAAATACAACAACGGCGTCGAGCCAGAACAGATAAAAATAATTAAAAATCAAAATAGACGACAAAGAAATCGTACGTTTTTCATACTAAACAAAAGGTGTATAATTTTACGAGCGATCGGTTGACGACGCGAATACATTAACGACGGTCAAACAACGACAAGACCATTTTTTTTTATACACAGGTTGTCTGCTCTGCGGAGAAAGTTACATAAAGGACCAGTCATGTCCGTACACCGCGAATTTCGGACGCCGGCCTATCTTATCACCTAACATTGACAAATATTAAAAATTATAATTATAATAACTATAAATTTGTATAATGAACACAACAATATATACCATATTATTCGCTTTTAACCGCGTATCGGTTGCGGCGCGAACACTATTATTTTATGTACAATGTTTAGTGGTTCTAGAGCATACTTATAAGCAGAACCCCATACTATGATACCATATGTTAATATTGATTGTATAATACCAAAATAAACAATTTTAATATCATTAATGTCGAGTATATTAAGTAGTTCTTTGGATATATAAAAACATTTTCTTATACGCGTTATAATAGTCTCTGCTTGGCCATTTATGTGCTCATCGAATATTACTGTTAAATATTTAGTCGAACCAACTTTATTTAATTGTCGACAATTTTTTCTGTAGTATTCCGATTATTTATTTCTATCGCGTTTATTAGAATGCAATTGTACTTCTAGATTATTAGGTGAGTTAGCTTTATTTAATGAAAACGGGGCAAATGCTGATTTTTGATTGTATAGTGATAGGTTAATTTTTGTGTACCAATCGTACGCATTTGCCAATGCTAAATTTGCTCTAGTCTCTACCTCGTTCTAATTATCACGTTCATTAAACAAAATTGTATCACCGGGATTCATATATTTTAGACTCTTAGTGGAACGAAGAAGCTAATGGTTTTACAATGATGTTTTTTTTTTTTTGTCCGTCAACAACTTTT